CCTACCCTAATAAACCAATACACTTTTCTATTCGAACAAACACCAACAAAAAATTTTTTTTTTTTTTTTTTTTTTTTTTTTTTTTCATAGCACCCTAACATCCAACCTCCCGATTTTTCTCATTTCAAGACGACTTCCAAAAACCGCACTCTCCAAATGTTCATGATCGCATCCAGCCAACTGTTCCAAATACAGGCGTTTAAAGAATTCGACCTTTCCGATGCTACCTAACATGGATTGTCTTTCTTTTGAGACTATACCTTTGACGTTACTAGATACCCTCCAGACATTCGACGTTCTGGGCCTCATATTTCCACTATTGGATCTATTACAACACACTTTGGTCCATCGTCTTGAATTAGGTAAGCCCACGTGATTCTTCGTATGAGTTATCACCAACATTCCATTTCTCATTTCTAGGTTTCGCTCATGTACAGGACCAACCTTAGTTCCATTATCTGAGCCAGATCCCCATGTTTTATTCACATTGGCAGCCTTTTGATAATACTTGGGTGCTTTGTATTCATCAATTTCAACACCTATTCCATCTTGACAACGTTTACCAATGGCCTTACTATCATCAATACTAATCATTTTACGTTCTTTCTCCTCAGCATCATTTCCTTTATAACAGCGGGAAACATCATACAATTTATCAACCCGTTCAATGTCGGCAGATTCCTGATCATGCACAGATGTTTTATAACTATCCTTTACAACCTCAATTCCAGTGTTATTACAATGTTCAACACTATGTATTCCATCGGCATTTCCAAATTAGCATGGTTTGTCTCTGCTGATCCTTGATGGTGTCGGAATTCTTCTCTTTCATTGAATTCTCCAGGTTTGTATCCGATTTTCGCTTGTTCTTTCATTTTCATGTTACTTTGACCACCTCCACTAACGTCCTTCCTTCTCTTCAATCTTAATTTATCCCTTCTAACATTCACATTACTCCTAATACTTCTTCGATTATAATACCCAACATTGAACGTTCCACCACTATGTCCCACATCTGCGGATCTTTGACAATAAATGAATCCCTTATGATCATTCTTTTCCACTCGTCCCCTTTCAAGATGATGATTACCAGGGTTATTCAGTCTCTTCTTTACCAGGTATGTTGATTCATTATTATATCTTGAACGTTTATATCTCCATGAGTCTTGATTATTCATTTCAACGTCATTCGCCACTTTCCCTACTAACTCCATATGCCGTACGTCAACCAACATGCCACTATAACCATTGTCCTTTACGTTACAACTTTTTGAACCTTGGCTCTTTCGATTCGGGCAAGTTTCAGCTAGGTGTCCTGGCCTTCGACATTCATAGCATAGTCGTGGTCTGTATTGTTTCTTTTTTATCCTTCGTTTCTTCAAAGTCTTTACCACTTCAACTACTAATCCGATCATGCTTTCAACTAGCATCACCAAACGATTTTTGCCTTCCATCTTCTCCATTCAGGTACGTATCGCTGCTTATTTTTTTTTTTTTTTTTTTTTTTTTTTTTTTTTTTTTTTTTTACCTTCTTTTGTTCTAACAAGTCCTTTTCTTTTTTTTTTTTTCTTTTTTAAGTATTTCCGTTT